CACACACATATATATATATATATATATATATATATATATATATATATATACACATATATACATAGATAGATAGTAGATTCTGGTTATCAAACATTAATGAAATGCCCACAACTCCATGGGTCTTATTTTAACGATCTAAGTGCATGGTCTAACGCGCACGGCGCAGGTGCACTTAGGGCCTGTCCAAATCCACTTTTGCTAGTTTAACGACGGTAAAAACGGTCTGCACACCCGGCGCATGGCCTAAAAGGGTTGTCCCTATTCTCTTAATGAGTAATGGGTGTGTTTTGGGCATAACGTGCAATAAACCAATCAGAGTCTCATCTCCCATTCCATTTAAGAGCCAGTTGCGCTCGTGCCGTGGCGGATTTGCTATTTACACGGCGGAATTTGCAAGCGCAAAGACTGAACACGTTTCCAGAGATGAAACAGAGTTGCTCGTGCGCGAGCAAATAGGTAGCCTAATTCTGATACATGCAATGGCTATTCATTATGACATGCAGGGCCGGATTAACATAAGGGGTAGGCGGGGCTGAAGCCCCAGGGCCCGCGGATTGAGGGGGCCTGACGTGATTGGCTGTGGAGGAAAGGAAAAGTATACCTAGAATTGATTGGCCATCGGGAGCACCCAAGCTTTCCCCGGTGTGCCAATTGTCGAAACCCCACCACGCCCCCACATATTAAGTGCTGTTATTAAAGCCAAAACCATGTAGCCTACATTAGCTCTTGACACAAGCACACAAGAAAGAGTAATCCTCGCCAGTGTCTGCGCTATTTCAGTCCAAAAGATATGAGCGATAAAAATGTCTTTGTACTAGTGATGCAAAGTACGATTCATTTCCGCGAACCAGTTCTTTTCGGACAGATCGTCTCATTGAACCGGTTCAAAAAGCCGATTCATCGGTTCCTGACGTCATCAAGCAATAACGTCTCTACGCATTTCTTTTATAACAACTCAATGCAATGTTATATCAATGAAAAGTTCTAATAAGTAATTTGTGTCAACACATATTGAAACATTCAAAAAATAAAGTAATTTGTGTGAAAGCATATTGCTGATTCTTGCCATATAATTCACTTAAGTTAATGGTGTTTGTGGTCACAGTTTCATTCGCTGATCCTTTATGTCAGATACGACTGACTGACCAATATTGACTAGCCTACAACTCGGATAAGATTCCTAAAGGTTTCACACCTACAGCACACATTACAGACATTGATGCACAAACGCGGATATGTTCTACATGTCTACAGTATAAAGCAGGGTTCCTCAAATCTTGCCCTGGAGGGCCAATGCGCTGCAGAGTTTAGCTCCAACCCTAATCAAATTCACCTACCTGTGACTTTCTAATGATCCTGAAGACATTGATTAGCATGCTCAGGTGTGTTTGATTAGGGTTAGAGCTAAACTCTGCAGGAAAGTGGATCTCGTAGGCCAGATTTGAGGATCCCTGGTATAAAGAATGAATAAACCAGTCTTATAAACTCCTTGATTTCACTTAAGCAACTTTAAATATAATATGCATGCACAATAAACTATTGTAAAATGTATTTACATCACTCGACAGAAAGGTTTTTTTCAGGTTTTAATAAAATGTAAATTAATAACAGTCATAATAAGCATATTTCCAGTACGCGCCTCAGGCTTGCACAGTATCGTCAACTCAACCAGAATCTTCGGTAATCCTCGGCAAACTTCGCCACGGCTCATTCGGTTCTTGTTGAGTCATCGGTAATCCTCGGCAAACTTCGACAGTTGGTTGAACTGTCCAGCTGTTCTCTTGCGCTGCACGGTTTAATCAGGTAACTTAGTGCCGTTTCATCACTTGGCTTTTAGTGTTTGTTTCCCATGCGCTACAGTAAACCCAAAGCAATTAAAAGATACCTGCAACTCTAGTGTAAATGAGTACAAAGTAGTGATGTTAGGTTCTTGAACAAATCGTTATTTTGAGCCGGTTCACAAATCGAACTGAAACTAACTTTAGTTACGGGTTGATGACGCAGGACGCACCGCCCGTAGTACCACGTCCAACTCAAAAAGAACCGATTGAGCAACGCATTTTATGGACGACAGTTTTTTTAACCTAGAAGAGTACAAGGCTGGCTGTGCACAAAGGCTATTTCTAAGCATGTCAACATATTCTGTTACACCAAATACACAAAATAATGATCTTTAAAATAGCATCATATGACCCCTTTAAGATGTGTAGAAATAGAGGTGTTTTGTCATCTAAAAAGGAAGAGGAAAATGAAAACGGAATAAGAAGAAGTGTTTAAATGCTTAATTGTGTCTATGTTTGTGTGTTTACAGGCAAGAGAGTGTGCTGGTCCCTCACATTGTCCGTTCCTGTGTGGAGGAGATTGAGAGGAGGGGTCTGAAAGAAGAGGGGATCTACAGAATCTCAGGAGCCAGCACCGAGATACAAGCACTAAAACATGCATTCAACACTAGTGAGTGTGTGTGTGGGTGTGTCAAACTGTTAACAGATTCTCATAGAACTAATCTCAAGTGTACTTATCTCAAAAGTGTCTCTCTCTCTGTAGATTACCGTGAGGCTGTGAGTAAACTGAGGACTGTAGATGTGAATGCTGTATCAGGCACTCTGAAACTGTACTTTAGAGAACTTCCTTTACCTCTTATTCCCTCTGAGCAATTCAAGGAGCTTGCAGATGCACTAGGTGAGGCCTTCACACACCTGAACACACAGTTGCACAGGTCTGTGCATAAACATGCAACGTGAGAACAGTATACATGATGATGATGATGAATCATTTAAAATGATAATACATATCTCTTTCTCTATTCGGTTATGGCAGACATTGCCGATCCATATCTCAGGGCCGACAGCATGCTGACTCTGTTGCAGGCTCTACCAGATGTAAACCGCAACACTCTCCTCTTCCTCTTACATCACCTGAGACGGTACACAACATCCTTTCAACTCGTAACTGCCAAAACACTGATTTAGTTTCACCCCAGACTGACCTGAATCACTTTCAGCACTGATGGATGTAAATAAAAAAAAAGACGTTTCTCTGTTTATTTTCTTTTTCCCCTTCTCATGCACATCTTTCTCTCTTTTTGTGTTTCTCAGTGTTGCAGAGAGGAAGGGAGAGAATAAAATGTCTCTGAGTAATTTGGCCACAGTGTTTGGCCCCAGCCTTTTGCGCCCTCCAGTGGCTCGTGTCGACATATCTCAAGAAGTGGAGGTTCAGGTGAGTTGTTTCTTTTTTATAAAATAAATGCTTGATGTGTCCAGTGTGGTACTGTGTTATTATAAGTAGTCCAGTTATAACATTTCCTTGAAGCCTGGCTGCTTGCGCACACATACAGTTTTCTCTATTCTGGGGTTTGTTTTAGAAGAAGAGAAACAACAATTTTCTGCACTCAACGGATGCTTGAGTATCTTCTCTACAATGGCGTGGACATATGAAATGAGGAGCAAAAAATCCCCTGTCTGTGTGTGTGTGTGTGTGTGTAAATAAAATAAAATAAAATAAAATAATACAATATTTTTATGTGTTCATATGAACACTTTATTAAAGCCAAGTTACATTAAAATGGAGCAAGTTAATAAATTTTTTTAACTTCGTTTATCTTTCTTTTTTTTTTTATTAAAAAAAAAAGCATATTTCTTCATAAGCTACATAATTTGGGAAAAATGTAAATGCTATTTTTTTTGATAATTTTTTTTGCTTAGCTTGTTTATAGGGCTGCACAATTTGGATAAATATTTTGTGATTCTATATGTCAATTTGACTTGACAGTATTATTATTACTATTATTACTAAGTAAAAATATTAAACAAAATAAGAAATATTATTGTAATTATTATTGTAATAAGAAATATTATTATTGTAATATTTCACTGTAAAATAAAAGTTGAATATTTAACAAAAGTTATATAATAATAATTATTTAATATTACAGCGCAACTGTAAATTTACAATAATAATATATATGACTGTCTTAATTTCTTTACTTTCAGACGTTAAACCATCAAGCTTTAAATTTGCTTGTCTTTATAATCACTTCTCTTTACATTCACTCGCATATATTTATTTTATTAAATCTACACTACACCTACATTTAGGGCTGTGCAAAAAATCGAATGCGACAAGCTACACAAAATCGCGTTCAAAATCGGCAAAGAATCGCCTGCGATTTTGAACACGATTTTGTGTAGCTTGTCAGTGAACTACGGCTCTGTGTAGTAAATGTCGCTCCATCTGAAAACACATGCTGGAGATTTACTTCTAATCACAGGAGCGCCTTTACTGACGAGATGCGCATGAAAATCGCATTCGATTTTTTGCACCACCCTACCTACATTAAAGGAGACATATTATGCCCCTTTTTACAATATGTAATATAAGTCTCAGGTGTCCCCAGAATGTGTCTGTGAAGTTTCAGCTCAAAATACCCCACAGATCATTTATTATATCATTTCGAAAATGCCTATTTTGAGTGGAAGCAGAAACACGCTGTTTTTCGTGCCTGTCTCTTTAAATGCAAATGAGCTGCTGCTCCCCGCCCCCTTTTCCAGAATAGAGCTGCGCCATTAAAACTCGACCTGCTAAAAACATCTGTTTTGGTTCTGATTATCATGTTTATCGCGCTGATATCATGCGTTTTAGTTTAAACTTCTGATATATGGTTTTCTGAGTGCACACGTACAGAAAGCGGCTGTCACAGCATGTGAGTACTAAACTAAGTTCTCATTCACACAAAGGTTTACGTTAAAAACACACGAGTTACAAAAAAGGTAAACAGCTGAGAAATAAATCGCATGTTTATTTTAGATCTGTGTGGCAGCAGCAATATACAGTAAATAAATCAATAAATCCACTGATCTCTTGTCTCCGCTGAGGCTGGGACTTTAAATAGTGTTCTGTGCTTGTCTGTGCAGCCAAAGACAGAACAGTTAGCATGTTTTGCTCAAACTTTCGCCATGGCATTAGAGCTGGTACACCTTTGTCGCTTGCAAAAATCAAATGTCAGCGGAAATTGACAGATTAAGGGCGGTAATATTATAATGAGATCCCTTTGCCACGTCACCAAGGGAGCGAAATCAGACGCGCTCATTTTCTCAGACGCTTGCAGAAAAAGGCTTACCAAAACAAAGTTACTGGGTTAATCTTTTTCACGTTTCCTTGGTTGGTAGATGCACCGGGGACCTGATTATAGCACTTAAAACCTGGAAAAGTCAGATTTTCATGATATGTCACCTTTAAATCTCTGCACTAAGCTATATCCAGATTTCAGTTTTATTTCAGTTAATCATGCAGTCCTACTTATATTTGTTGTTTGAATATTATTATTAATAGTCACCTTTTTACAGTCTATTAGTTATTAACATTTTTGTCGTGATGATCACAGGTAATTAATTAAGTAACTAAGTAATCAATTTATACCGGTTTGACCCATTTAGGCCAATTTGTAGACCAGTTGTGAACATCAGATGTGAGCATTAACAAATTGACAGATTAATCAGACAATCACAGTGAGGAAGAGAATATGAAAGGCGGCCATTATTGCATTGGCAGGATAATGAGCCAGTCATAGCCTGAAGGAGGCACTGCATCCTCTCACATTATTTTTAACATGTGTGTTTTTGTGTTTTTCATCACAGGTTCAGGTGATTTATCTCTATCTGCAGTGTCAGAACCTTCCAGAAGCTCTTCTCACAAAACATCAGGACATTGATGATCTAGAGACATGAGCCTTCAACAACCAGACTCCTTTTCTGTCTGCGTATCCATGGTCATATCTGTAAATTTGTAAAAATTGTTTAACTCGCTTTATTTTACAGATGTTTAATATTTTATTTTCAGGTTTTTATTGTCATTAAAAATGACATGACCATGAGTTGACTATGTTATGGTGCTTTAATATTAAGGTGCAGTCACATTTACCATTGTTTGGCAACATTTTGCATGCAAAATCTAGTCAATCCAATAGAAATTTATGCAAACATGGAGTTTTACATGGACTTTTATCACACCTTTACAGGTCAGCATGTGAACACTTAAAGGGCTAGTTCACCCAAAAATGAAAATTCTGTCATTAATTACTCGCCCATGTTGCTCCAAACCTGTTTGACCTTCGTTCACCTTTGGAACACAAATTAAGATATTTTTGATGAAATCCAAGCGCTTTCTCACCCTTTGCTTATTACACACACAGGGACGTGCAGCAGCACACAAACATGTCAAATATTAAAAACGAAAGGATTACAATGTAAAAGATTATTAGCCTATTGTGTATTATTGTCAGGGGGCTTTGGTGAAATCCGGCTTGTCCTGTAGAGCGCGCACAAGCAGATCCGTTTCCTCTCTGAAGAAATGTTCAGTCTTTGCTCTTGCAAATTCCATCATGTATTATAGCGAATCCGCCATGGTGCAAGCGCAACTGGCTCTTAAAGTTAATGGGAGCTGAGACTCTGATTGGTTTATTGCACGTTAAAACCCAAAACACACAAATGACTCATTAAGAGAATAGGTACAACCCTTTTGGACCATGCGTCTGGCGCACAGACCATTTTTTCCGTCGTTAAACTAGCAAAGGTGGCTTCGGACACGCCCTAAGTTCACCTGCGTGATTCGCTTCAGACCATGTGCTTAGATCGTTAAAATAGGGCCCCTAATGTCAGATTGAGTTAGATCTATCGGACTGTGCCATCTAGAGTTTTATGATAGATAGTTTAGTTTGGATAGATATATGTAAAAAAAAAAATTGCTCCAAACCTGTTTGACCTTCGTTCACCTTTGGAACACAAATTAAGATATTTTTGATGAAATCCAAGCCTTTGGAACACAAATTAAGATATTTTTGATGAAATCCAAGCGCTTTCTCACCCTTTGCTTATTACACACAGAGGGACGTGCAGCAGCACACAAACATGTCAAATATTAAAAACGAAAGGATTACAATGTAAAAGATTATTAGCCTATTGTGTATTATTGTCAGGGGGCTTTGGTGAAATCCGGCTTGTCCTGTAGAGCGCGCACAAGCAGATCCGTTTCCTCTCTGAAGAAATGTTCAGTCTTTGCTCTTGCAAATTCCATCATGTATTATAGCGAATCCGCCATGGTGCAAGCGCAACTGGCTCTTAAAGTTAATGGGAGCTGAGACTCTGATTGGTTTATTGCACGTTAAAACCCAAAACACACAAATGACTCATTAAGAGAATAGGTACAACCCTTTTGGACCATGCGTCTGGCGCACAGACCATTTTTTCCGTCGTTAAACTAGCAAAGGTGGCTTCGGACACGCCCTAAGTTCACCTGCGTGATTCGCTTCAGACCATGTGCTTAGATCGTTAAAATAGGGCCCCTAATGTCAGATTGAGTTAGATCTATCGGACTGTGCCATCTAGAGTTTTATGATAGATAGTTTAGTTTGGATAGATATATGTAAAAAAAAAAAAAATGAAAGAGATTTCACCCAAAAACAAAAATGATTACTTTATTCAACAATTCGTCTCCTCCGCGTCACCCTGGCAGTATTTTGGAGAGTATCACGATGTATGCGCGTGGTTTGATCTGAACGTAAACAACGTATGCGCATGATGCTGCTGACACAGAACAGCATACGTTTTTTTACGTTCAGATCAAAGCACGCTCATACGTCGTGATACTCTCCAAAATGGCGCACAAAAAGTATTCTTGTAGCTTCAAAACATTACGGTTGAACCACTGATGTCACATGGATTATTTCAATGATGTCCTTATTACGTTTCTGGACCTTGATCGTGGTAGGATCCTTGCTGTCTATTGCAGGGTCAGAGAGCTCTCGGAATTCATCAAAAATGTCTTAATTTGTGTTCCGAAGATGAACGAAGATCTTACGGGTTTGGAACGACATGAGAGTGAGTAATTAATGACAGAATTTGAATTTTTGGGTGAACTATCCCTTTAAGAAATGAAACTAATCAAACTAAATAAAACAAATTAAAATGACAATACAATAAAATAAAATACAATAAAAATACTAACATTAAAATTAAAACAAAAAAAAATGAATAAAAACTAATTATAGATTAAACCTATAATAGTATTTTAATTATACTTAATTAACATTAGAGAAAACCTGTCACGTTAGCGTCCTTTGAGCCAGGACAGAAAAGTATTTTCTTGTACGTAAAGAGCTCTACCGAATAGGACCTCATTGAAACAGAGTTTCTGGGTGGGCCGAGAGGGCAATAGGGGAGAAAGGTGAAGTGAGACGGTTGTAATATCCTACCACAGATGGCCAACTCTCTCACACACACTTGTGGGGGTCACCAATAACTCTGCCACTCTCCCGCCCCCTCACCCCACCTCCATGCAAATCAATCCGCTACGGTTCAGCTCCAACAAGACCAAGTTCACCATGACATGCACCGGCACTTCAAAGAGATCCATGCTTCCTAACCTCTCCCCCACCGTCGCTGGGTGTTGCTTTTCACCTCAGCTTATGCCCCACCTGGCCGGGGTGGGATTCACTCTCCTTCCCTCCGCCTGATTTTGACTTTGATCCATAATCCAAACTTGGAAAAGCGCTCCCGTTCCCAGCGATCCAGGCAGGAAAAGTGCAGCAATGTCAGATGTGTGCCATAACGCCATCCAGACATGCCCCGGTTACAACACAGCATCAAATGGGTTCTGAAAGAAGTCGGTGCTCCCACGTGAAAATGGCCACCAATAAAACAGGTTCCTGTGGTTAAGTGCTAACGCAGAAGGGACGATCAGAAAAGATCTTGCCATTAGAATAAAAGAACTGAATGATGGATTGAATGGGAAAAGCACAATGAAAGACAGACGTTATTAGTTAATACTTTATATGTATATATAATTTTTTAAAGAAATAAAAGCATAATCAAGCTTAATCAGAAAGGTTGACGTTCATTTTAAGTTTAGCATCTAGAAGAGCATCATAATGACATACAGTCCACTATAAACCTAAAGGTGATTTGATAGATTGAGGTCACACCTGCCATTCTGTCATTGTTTGGATATATATTTTACACATTTTGTATATGTATGCTGAAGTCCATCAGTGTGGTACAGTGAACCAGTATACTGTATATATGTAACACAGATGGCACCAGTTTTATTAGAGCTAACAGCGATCAGGAATCTCGTTGCCATGGACGCAATGTGTTCGTATGAGAGGCATGCATGCAAGGGATCAACTGGATTGACCTCTTCACTCTCGGGTTAACAGAAGCCTCGTGTGTATCTGATTCCCTGTGCCCGTCTGTGTATGTGTGCGTGATCTCAACGAGAGCGTGTTAGCAACATATTCGAGAAGGCTTATTAAACAGTGAGGTTCACTCAGCAGTATCATTACTCACACTGTGAGAAAGAACAGAAGAAAGAGAGCGGGTGAGTGTGAGTGTGGTAGAGCTTGTTGAACTTTGCCTCTGTGATGTACTGTAGGCCTCATGTCTCGTAAAAATTCTTCTTGCCAGCCAGTAAACACGCGGGGTCCAGAATAAGTGCTAACGCAGAAGGGACGATCAGAAAAGATCTTGCCATTAGAATAAAAGAACTGAATGATGGATTGAATGGGAAAAGCACAATGAAAGACAGACGTTATTAGTAACGGCTGTATCTCTGTAGCAGCTCAAACTGAAACTGAGATTTGAGGGCATAGTTTGAAATGTACAGCAGATGCTAACAGATGAAATATAGATAACTCTAGTAAGGGTTTTCAAACATTTTGATCCCAAGCACCCCTAAATATGATCCCCCTACCTTCCTAAAATATAAACAGAGCTCTGTATATTCACATATTATATATAGAGCAGCTCTATATAACCCGTTTATACTATGTGATAAATAATAAAGACTAGTTGTTTTCAGCTTTATATTATATTTATAAAAAAAACTATTAGAACAAATTCTCCACTTTAATAAGCAGTGGGTAAAAATGGTTCTGGTAATGCAAAATGTATACACATTTTCAGTTCAATATAAAATATAATTCTAATATAATAATTCAGTATAAAATGTATTTATAGCACTTTTAACAATAAATATTGCTGTAAAGCAGAGGTGCCCAAACTTTTTAATACAAAGGGCCAAAAATCAAATTAGATGGAGAGGTGTGAAAAATGTAAATGTTGCATTACATTCTACTATCCTATATTATGCAAGGGATCAACTGGATTGACCTCTTCACTCTCGGGTTAACAGAAGCCTCGTGTGTATCTGGTTCCCTGTGCCCGTCTGTGTATGTGTGCGTGATCTCAACGAGAGCGTGTTAGCAACATATTCGAGAAGGCTTATTAAACAGTGAGGTTCACTCAGCAGTATCATTACTCACACTGTGAGAAAGAACAGAAGAAAGAGAGCGGGTGAGTGTGAGTGTGGTAGAGCTTGTTGAACTTTGCCTCTGTGATGTACTGTAGGCCTCATGTCTCGTAAAAATTCTTCTTGCCAGCCAGTAAACACGCGGGGTCCAGAACTCAGCATTTATCCCACATGTATTCAGTCTGTCTGTAGTCAGGTTAGACACCACAGTGAATTTTACGTGAAGGTAAAGGCTGTGAGGGATAGACGTGCGAGAGAAGCTTGCAAGGCAAGATGAGAAAAAAATTGAAGATTACCTTTGTTCATTTTCATGGGGTCTTTACAAGGGCACGCACTGTATAAAGGTGCCAAATCCCGCAATTTTAATAACTCACATCTTTGAAAGCTGTCTTATGACGTTTTTGTTTACTGAATTTTTTATTTTTTTTTACCAAAAAGATGGTTTGTAAGCTCAACAATTGATATGTTGTTTTGATCCATTG